TTTGCTATCGAGCGGGAGGGGGGAGATGGTTAAGTACCATTTTCAACCATCATAAATAGTAGTTGTATAGGCAGCCCCTCTCCCAATAACGACCAAATACGACCCCATCTACCTCGCGGTCAAATACGACCCCCGTTCACTTCACTTCAACGATGGCGAGCCCTGACAGTGGGCTGTTTGCTAAGCACCCCAGACACTGCCCGCCAGGATGCGCAGTACAGTGAACAGGAGTAAATAAAAATAATTTCGTAATTTCCAACCTTTTTAATTATTTCATACAATTTTTTAATTATGAGAACAACACAAAAGTACCTTGCAAGGCGATTACGATTTTGTGCAATACGAGTCTCGAGGCGGGCTAGCCATTCCATACGAAGCTCCATGTCGGGGAGATTTATTCCATTTCTACAGAAAAATTGCTGGAAGTAGCAAAAAAAAGAGGAAAGCAATATTTTTACTTTTTCGCACGCGCAGCTTCACAGCAAAGATCGAGCATGCGCTGAACCACATAGTTTCCGTATTGATGGAACAGCATTATGTCCAGAGCATCCTTCTTAGTTTCACTGTAAACAGGAATTTGTAGATCACAGAAAGAAAAAAAGCAAAAAAGGCAAAAAAGAATTAATCCATACGGATGAGGAACGTATCCATCGAAAATTTCATCCATCATTTCAGCCAACAGTATAGGTGATGAAAATTCAAGAGCTTTCTCAACTACATGAGAAGCGTATTTTTCTTGAGACAATGATAAGAGGTTGCGCCTGAAAATATCGTAAGGACGTGAAATTAGGATGATGCCGAGAAACTAGCAACTTACAAAAGGCACTCTTCGATAATGCGATCGCGATAGTCAGCCAGCGGTCCCGCTTTGAGTACATGTTGGATCACATAGTTAGCAAACTCGTTACATGCTAGGCGCTCACAGTTCGCCAGCAAATGAACCATAAGATCGTCAAGAATCGGAGGACGACGCTTGTTTGGCTTCTACAAGCGATAGAGTACTTAGAAGCGGAAAAAAAATGTACACGACCACAAGAGTAAAAGAGCGAGGGCATTAGATAAGGGAACTGATTAACAACAATCGTACTTAAGTTTGGGTGGATAAAGATTAAAGAGAGTGGGCCGGGAACATTGAACATGGATCCGGTGGCTGGAAGGGAATCCTCTGCTAAGTAAACCAAAGAGGCTTTGTCTAAGGTCTAATTCAGGAAGAGACACCTATCGGAATTATGAGCTGAGAATCACTGCGTCCTCTAAAAGATTTCACACAGTGGACAATATAAAATGTGCTACACAATATCTGGGTCATATCCATCCACTTCACGAGTTGCTTCAGCCCCCTACCTCATCCTAGCACGCAACACAATCGACTAATCGACTCTGCGGAGTAAGGATCGCTTTTAGTATCTTCACTACTTCATCTACAATCCCACTATACTACATCTACAAACCCTTGAAAATGGTGAAAATCGGCGACGAGGGGGGTTTAACGCCTTTGCCACCTGCAGTGCCACAATAGGAAAGCTTCTTCACCCTCTCTTCTTCAACTTTTCTCACCCCCTCACACGATCTTCACTAAACAGCGGGATGTTGACCGTACTAATGAAGCTAGGCTGGCCACTTGGTGAAATCTGACATATTGAAGCCAAACGTATGTCACCAAATGTGACGACCTAGGGTGATAACTCAGAAGCTGGCGAATTGAAGGGTAAAATTCACAAGAAACAAAAAGAAGTCGAAAAATAAGTCCACCAGTAAGTCCAGTTGAAGAGAGCTCCAAACTAGAGAGTGCCCATTGAAAATCGGAGCAGAAACTTGGGATAGCCCTGTGCAGCCGACAGCTCCGACCATGTTCCGTTCCTATAGTTCAAGTGAGCCTAATCAGGGTCGAAACAGCTCTCGAAGACAACCCGTCCGCCGCAGATAACAGGTAGCTGTCACCAGTGCACGCAAATGCTGCCAAATCTCCTTACCTTACTGGTATCAGATAGAACTTCAATCGCTAGCTGTACCACACGACATCCATACTTGTTTTCTGCCACACAAAACAGTTCGTTTTTATTGCGAACAAAATGTTCGATGATGAATTGCCAATTCACCAGAGGAAGTGTTGTCATGATCTTCAACATATATAAATTCGCAAAAAAGACTAGACTATTTCTCGAGTTCGCCCTCGCTCACCCACCTTTTGGATCACATGGTTGGCATTCTGATCTGTGCACAAGTCCACGAGGTTCTTATTACGAAGTTCCAGCATCAAAAGGCTCTTCATTTCATTCGGCAAACACTGAAATTCAGAGCATTTTCGAATGCTAGTGCTCGTCATTAAAATAACGCATAAGAAAAACAGCCCGAGCCCTCCAACCAAGACCCATCATCGCTGTGAAAATCAACACGAAAAGTCAAATTTACCCTCTGGTTAGGAACATGGTTAGATCACTGAAGAATGATAAAGTGAAAGGTAAATACGTTTCGGATCTTTCTCTAACTAGGGAAGTCCGTCAACTTACCATGGACTTTTAAGGGAGACCTGGATAGATCGTTAGAGTCTATAAAGTTTAGTTTATTTCGACTATTTATATATAGCAAAACTGCAACCTGCATTTCACAAGCAACTTATGAGCAGGTAAAGTTTGTAATGGTGCAGTAGGGTGGAGGCTTGGTGGTGAGCTGTGAAGCGAGGAATCGCATACGTCGAATCGAGTCGTGGTGGTTCAGTGGTAAGGTTCGACGTTCGACGACTCGATTCGACGTATGCGATTCCTCGCTTATGCTTCACAGCTCACCACCAAGCCTCCACCCTACTGCACCATTACAAACTTTACCTGCTCATAAGTTGCTTGTGAAATGCAGGTTGCAGTTTTGCTATCTATATTGTAAACAACCTTATAGACTCTATCGATCTACCCAGGTTCCCATTAAAAGTTCCACGGAAAGTTAGCGGACTTCCCTAGTAAGAGCCCAGTAACTTACTCCGCAAGGGCTCTTCTTGCTATCACCTCTGCGGGAGTAAACTACATGAGTAGGCGCTCATTGTGGATAGGATGATCCGTTCTTGTTCACAATGGCGAAAAAACGTGTTCTAGAAACTCATCCGAGTCTTTAAACGAAATGAAAGTGCCACAGTGGCCAACGTCAGATTACGAATGAAAACGCCCAGATGAGGGCCCAATGTTAATAGTAGGAAAAATTACCAAATAAAGAGAAAACTTTTCTAAGACTATATACCAAATCTAAACGAATTTATTTTCTAAAGAACATTGACGACATGTTAATTCCTTTTTATTCGTAAAAGATGAGGGATTCTAATGACCTTGCCTCCAGAGTCCGCGCATGCGTGAAGAGTGATATGCCTTACAGTTACTCATGCGTTTAGCAGGTCGCGAAGTACATCGCCCGCAGATAGACACGCGAACGCAGATAACTTGAGAGAACCGCTCTGATTAACATATTTATTACGTTCATCCTTTTCCCTTTTCTTTTATTGAAATTTTACTTTGTTATAAATCAGTCAAATGGTGTACGAGGAAAACTTTCGCAAAAAGCGACCCTTGCTCAAATTCCTTCCTCAGCTACACCCCCCCCCTTTCCCGATTCAACTAGACGGCTTCTTCCTAGACACAATTTCAAGAATCAGTCCTCGTTTAGAGCCAACAGGAACAAACCTCGATAACTTTTTGAATCACACGGCATGAATAGCGATTCAGACACATTGGATATAGCTTGCCAAAGAGATTGCTTGTGATCCATCTGTGCTCTTGTGTATTGGCATGTTGAACGGCACACTGTATGAAGAAATTACCGAACACATCCATGCAGAGTGCCTGAACCATGACGATTTCAGCCATCGAGCTCATTCCACCGCGTTAGGGAGGAGCAATAAGGAAAAGGAAAAGCCCTGAAAAAAAAACCTCTAAGACCAAACCTGGAAAAAGTCCGCTACTTCGAACAATTGCTTCCCAAGCATCTCTCGCTCGGGTTTACCTTCAGCAGGATAGTTTGCTTGAAGGTACCTGAAGTCAGAGATTCATAAACACGGGTCTCTCCGGTAATTTCCAATTCGAGGAGACTTCTGCGCAGACTTGATAGTGAACTCACGTGCAGCCAGATTTATCCCTAGCAAATGTTTCCAGCAATCCTTCTTCCAGTAATTTTTTCAGCGGGACAATAATATGGCCGTGTCCAT